AATTTTGCCTGAGCCGCTTTGCTCAATTACCCTGCCTGTGCCACTGATAAAAGTCACAAAGGCCCATGACACTTTGTCGGTGGACGCCCCAGAGCCATCACTGTACACGCAAAGACATTCGGGTGGGAGAGTAGGTAGCCAGTCTCTTATAAACCTAGCTGCTTCTTTCTTACTTGTCCAGCGGGGAATTGGCCGAGGGGGGGCCGGAGGTCGGAGCGTTGGAGGTAGTTCGGCCTCTGGCAGAAGTCGATACATCCTCTGGACCCTTGAATCATGCACTCTGTCGAAACCAAGTCTGGTTTTGTTGCATGTCTTTAGGCCGAGTCGGTGACGAGCGCTGTCTGTGCTTTCCGTGGCCCGAAGTCGAAGCGGATGGTACTCATCTAGTGTCCGGATTCGTGCGGCAGTCTTGAGCCTGCGTTCCTCGAGCAGAATTTGTGCTGGCGGAATACCAGTCTCTCTTCTCAGGGCTGCAATAGGCACCGTGCGCCAGGTTGGTAGAGCCACGCGGATTCCGAAGGCAGAGGTTTGGTCGATGACTTTGCTCTGTCTCTTGTAGGAATTACGCGTCACACCTCGATAAGTTTCCCTGGTTGGCCCCGGGCACCAGACCTCCGCTGCATGCATCGCGATTGGCAGAACTACCGTGCGAATGACTGTGGTTAGTAAGTCAGGCCTTAGTCCCTGGGTGCAGAGTGTAAGCCGTCGGAAGTGCTGCACTAGCCGCATTGCTTTGCTGGTCCACTTTGCGACGTGACTTTCGAAGGTCAGACCGCGATCAAGGTGTACTCCGAGCCATCGGATGTCGTCGGATGCTTGTACATCGCGAGTGCCTACCCTTATGGCCGGAAGATCGTGTCCCCTGGATCTGGGGCCGACGAAGTAGACTACTTCGGCCTTATCTGGGTCGAAAGAGACGGCATTATCAGCGGCCCACCCTAGGACTGCATCGACTTCTCTCTGGACAGCTACTGCGGCTTCAGTTGGAGTTGAACCTATGCCGAGGATGGCAACATCATCTGCATAGCCAAATCTCTAACTACTGCCTCCCACGACTTCGGCCATGTAGAGCAGGAAAAGAATTGGGGAAAGAGGCGATCCCTGTGGCAGCCCGCATTCTAGGAATACCGGGTCTGTGACTCCGTCTTCGTGTCGTACGCGAGCGGATCGTTCTTGTAGGAAGGACTTTATCCAGGTGATAGCTGGTTTAGGCCAACCCATTTTGTTCATCCTCTGCAGCAGCCGTCCGTGGAGTACAGCATCGAATGCACCCTGAACGTCCAAAGTGACTAGGACTGCTTTCTTCTGCCGTTTCATTGCATGTTCTACATCGTGGATGGCGCATGAGACGAGGTCGTTGGCAGACCTGCCAGTGAGTGCTCCAAAGAGTTGCTGCGGGACTGCCTTGTAGGTGAGGGCGGTGTAAGCCATTCGCGTTGCAATCAGTCTCTCGAGACCTTTACCCAGAGAGGAGAGAAGTGCGATAGGCCTCCATCCTTTAGCTGTACTGAGGTTACGGCCGGGTTTGGGGAGAAGGACTACTTCCGCTAGCTTGAAGGCCTTCGGAAAGTGATTCAATCGCAGTGAGCCCTCAAAGAGTACTCTCACTGCGTGACCAATTGATGGCCAGGCTGTCCTAAGAAGACGAACAGAAATCGCGTCTGCTCCAGGGGCTTTATTTTGGCAGGCCGTTGTAACCCACTTGGCTTCCTCGTCCGTAACGCTCGAGACCCATGGAAGGTTTCCGCGTCCTAGCTCGAAGTCCTCAGCGTCGACGTCGTTCTGACTGGTGATCCGGCCGAGAAGGAGGTCGCGCAACAGAGTTGCTCGCTTTCCTGGATCCGAAACAAGACCATCTGGAGTTTGGAGTGGTGGAGCAGCTGATGTAGGTTGCGGCTTAGCCCAGCGTGCCATCCGATACATGTCGACGTCGATTGTTGCTTCGGAGAACTTTCGCCGCCAGTATTGCCGTTTGGCACTTTTGACTGTGCGACGGAAATCCTTTCTGCTCTCTTCGTCCTTGAATATCCTGTATTCACGTTTGGCCTGTAGGCACTCCGACGTCCACCAAGGTGCCGTCCTACCCTTCTTAGCACTCCCGCGTCTACCAGTGGCCCTGATTGCGTTGCTAATAGTTTGGACCAGCTTATCAGCAAGATTGTCCACCGCGTCTACTGAAACCATCGGCTGTAGCTCTATTCCTTGAGCCCAACGACCTAGCACCTTTGCAAAGTCTTCGAGGGCGTCGTCTGTCACTCGAAACAGTTGGCCTGTTTTGATAACAGCTCTAGCTTTCGAGTTCGGACGGGGGACGTCTCCTGCAAGAGTTCTGTGGTCCGATTTCGAGTCAAGCTCTATCAAGACGTCTGCAAGGGCTCCCGCGTTAGACCAAACTAGGTCGAGTGTGTTTCCAAGATCGTGAGTCGAGACGCCCGGGGTCGAAGATAGGTCCATGCCGTGCTCGGACATCCACTCGGTGAGCACCTGGCCGTCACCGTGTAGCCTAGTAGCCATTGGCTGCCAGTCGGTGTGAACGGCATTGAAATCTCCGCCAACTACTGTGGGCCCAGACGGGGCCCATGATAGGAGCGGCGAAAGATCTGCTCCAGGAGCGCGATACACAGAGACAAACGTGACTCCTTCTACCTTTACTGCAGTGAGATCTGGTGATGTCTCGCAGAATGCTATTTGTAGGCACTTGGTCCCTTTCCGCGTATAAATGAGGGAGCGTGGCCTTGCGGGGTTGGCTGTGACATGGGGGGGCAAGTGCTTGTCGAACCCGGGATGCGACTTGGTGAGCCAGAAGCCGTCATTGTGTTGAGTCCAGGGTTCCTGGATGAGTAGGACATCAATTCCTGAATGCCAGGCGGATTGCAGGATGATGTCTGTAGCGGGGTCTCCTCTGCCCAAATTAGCGCAGAGGAACAAGATCGTTGTTGCCGTTGTGTGTAGCTCGGTAAGGTTGTGGTCCCTTACGGGCATTGAGCAACGTTTGTAGTTTCGTTTTCAGCAGTCACTTCAGCGGCTTTCTGCTTTGCTTCCAACTCTCGGATCGAAGCGTTTCTTTCTTTTTGACCTTGTTCCCGGATCACCGACAGCTGGTCTCTTGTGCGTTGCACAGTCTTTCCGCCGGCCCGCGTTGGCCTGGCCATGCAGCTAGGCTCGGTTGCGGCATGTGGCCCATGGCAATTGATGCACCTTGGGACGAGCTGTTTGCACTCAGTAGCCTTGTGCTCAATCGATCCACAGCGAGAGCAGCGCTCTGCTCGTGAACAGATCTTAGTTGGGTGGTGTCCCCAGTATCGGTTGCATTGCGCAATTTTGGCTTTACGCTGAAGTTCGTGTAAGCGACCGATCTCTTCGAAAAGTCTTTCTCCCAGCTTTGGCATGCCGGTTGCAAAATGCAACACCCAGTCGGTGGACGGCCTGGCCATGCTTGTCGCAAAGGCACGAGCCGAGGTCGGTCTAACGCCTGTCTTTAAGGTCGCTTCCTCCATTACCATCTCCGATGTTACTGGCGTTGGTCCTTCTAAAGTGAAGAGTCTGTCTGGTACATTAGGCGCCAACACTGAGATCCAGTTGGAAGCAGCTTCCAGTTTCATTTCCGTGCTCTCCAGGAGTACGGCGCCTGAGAGGAGCGCGTTTCTTGCTCCGTCTCCTTCAGCTAGTATCGCAAACCCTGAGTTGACGATGGTAACCTGCTTAATTGCAAAGTTAGCTAAGCGGAGCTTGCTTGCGAGGCTCATTTTGATGTAATGAGGAGACATGCGTCTCCATGGGTGGTCGGGCTTGACCCGCAGGAAAACACGCTCGTCTGGGCGAGCTAACTTGGCAGCTGAGGCAGTAGGCCTCGAAGTTTGTGTGGGCCCTGTCGCTTTTGACTTAGGCTCGCTGGCTGGTTGCGATTTTGTCGCTGCTGGTGGTGCGGGCTTAGTCTTTTTCCTCACTACCTGAGTCCAAGACCCCTCAGTAACGATGGGGGTTTGTATAGAATCGATGTCGATTGGCCTAGTAGGCTTTGTCGAAGCCGGCTCTTTGCCTTTCGCCTGGTTGCTTTCTCTCGTGAGTATTTGCACTGATCGTGAAGTGCTCGCGCTATTCTTTCCTCCCGGCCTAGTAGCCGACGCAGAGAGGGTTGTCGTCTTGCTGCTACTGGCAGCCTCTGATGGCCCACTGGATTGGGGCTCGGGGTTTCCGCGCAGGATGTTTGTGATAATGGCCTGTAAAGCCTCTCCATTCTTTTCGACAGCTCGTCGGAGCTGTTTGTCGGTTGTGGCCGCCAGTAGGTTAATGTAACCACTGACGATACGCTCAGCCTCTGCAAAGCGTATGTTAAACGCCCTCGCTTCATCTGCGAGGAAGTTAGCCAAGGAAGCACCCATTGACTCGGGGGGATTTTGGGGCGAGTATTGGCAGCTCGCCTCGCAGATCGGTTCTGCGTTTGCTTGTGTGTTGTTGTAGTGGTGGTTAGGTGGCCCTGTGAGGACCATTTCGACGTCAGGACGCGTCGAATTTACGGGTGGGAGGGGGGGCCAAGAGCTAGCTTCTGCGGAGGACTGGGGCGGTATGGCAAGGAGCAAATCAGAGAAGGTTGAACAGTAGATAATCGCGTGTCTGGCGCGTCGAGACAGTTCTTTGGGATGGACGTGAGGCGTGGATGTTTCGTGGCGGTCCGAATCAAGTGAATACACCCGTGTGTATCTGGCGAAAGGCGATTAACACACAATTCTGGCATCACACTTCAGTCGAGAGTCGCGTTAGAATTGGCCAAGCGAGTAAATGTAAATAGACCTGCACAGAGAGCCGGCGCAGTTCAGAGCTTCTACTAGGCTAGACCACAAAGTAGACGAAAAAGACACCACAATGTTCCCCAAAAGTCCATGATAAACGAACGCCCCTAGCCCGGCCCTATTTCTCACGCCTCAAAATTTTTTCTGTCCGTTCCAGCAGACCCACCATTTATTCCATCCGACGCAGTCGAGCCCTCGCTCTCAGCTTAGATGCTCCCTACGCCCTGTACCGCACACGTTGACTTGGCGCGGGTATATGAGCCGGCCGAAGACTCTTATCTTCTACTTGATACCGTGTCATCTGCGAGCGAACGAGCCTTTCTCCATGCGCGTTTTGGCTCAGCCTCTTCCGGTCAGGCAGTGACACCGCTCGTTGTCGAGATTGGCTCCGGCTCCGGCGTGGTCATTTCTTTTGTACATGCTCACTGCGCAACCATCCTCGGTCGCTGCGACATTCTGACTGCTGGAATTGATGTTAACTTCTTTGCATGCCAAGCTACAGTAAAGACCGTGGCCATCGCTCAAGCGCAAAATACTACAAAAGCCTCCTTCATGGGAAGTATTCAGGCCGATCTTGCTAGCTCGTTCAGAGGAAATGAAATGGATATCCTGATATTTAATCCACCCTATGTTCCTACTCCCTACCTCCCGAAAATAGAACACAAAAGTTTTGATGAAGTCTCCTATAACAACGATTCGCACCTCTTATCACTTTCGTATGCTGGAGGGGTCGATGGCATGGAAATTACCGAAAGATTTTTGCAGTGTTTACCCAAAATGCTCAACAGCGTTCGAGGCTGTGCGTATTTATTGCTATGCGCTCAAAATAAGCCAGATCAAATCAAATCAAGGATAAGAAATTGGGGCAATGATTGGCTGGCAGAAACGGTTGGAGAAAGTGGCAAAACAGCGGGTTGGGAAAAGCTCCAGATCATCAGAATATGGCGCACGTAAGTTTGAAGATTGATTACAATACTTATAGGTTAGGTTATAAGTGAAACACCGTCGACACTTGATGTTTTTTTAATGCATGGATACAATTCAAGCTATTATAGAACGGAATTGATTGCGCCCTAAGTTCGGGATAATTTGGGGCTGTCAAAAGATATACCTCGAGTCACCGACTGCCTTGCACGCATCCTATTTCTCCAAGCTTACAAAACCTTTTCGATATTTTCACTGTTTCCCTTAAGTCCTCGTAAATCCTCATGATTAGTCCGACTATTATTTATCTGTACCAAGAGATTTTTCCCCGTGTAAGTATACCGGAATTTGGAGGGTTGTAACAAGAGACTGGGGAAGGCTAATCATTGCGCTGTTGATTAGTTTACAGTCGTCAATAGTAGATTCTAGTCAAATGATGTTGTGTAGAATAGGCTCTGAATAGAACAATTTATCGATAGTAATGTTGTTAGGGTGACGAAAAGTGATTGAAGAGTCCCAGGATTCGCTTGAATAATTGCGAATAGGTGTCCACTCCTTGGTTATGTGAATCGAATTTCTGTGGCCTTATTCGTTATCTTAAAAGCCTCGACCACCTCCTCTACCACGTCCACCTCTAAAGCCTCCACGTCCTCTAGGTCCACCTCGTCCTCTACCGCCGCGGACTCCTCCCCTGTCTGCAACTTCTTTCCTCGCTTTATTCTTTGGTTTAGGTGCATCGTCGATTAATAGAGTATCAAGAGGGAGTGAGTCAGGGAGTATATAGTATCTTATTGTAGATCCACGGAGGTTAACTGTATCGAGAGAGATAGGGTCGTTGCCGCGCTGGGTCATCTTGACTGTTCGGAGCGCAGTGTTCATTTGGGGGGAAACTGATGTGATCGTTCCATGAATGATAGTGCCTATATCCAGATGAGTCTGGAGTCTGGACAGGGTAGCATGCGTTAAAAATTACCGTTTTTAAGCTCGATTGTGACGGTCTCATTCGCACATTTCATCAGGAATCTATCAGGCACATTGATGTTAGCCAGTTCTTGATCAACCGGAATTGATTGAAGAGCCTGCCTGCTATACGAATTTCTGTAAGAGAATGCAAGCTTACCTTACGAGCTTCATGTTGAAATCACTTTCGGGTATAAATAAAGCTCAATGATACGCGTTTACCGAATCAAGCGCTGTTGAAGTGCTGTTATATGCCGTGTCCTTTTGTGCTGTAAATGAGGCTGTGAGGATAAAAATATTGACTGAGTGGATAAATTTTTTGATTTATATCCGGATACTGTGTGACGATTCTTAAGGTAATGCCTGGTGTAGAGATGTCGGGCAGATTGTGCGCTACAGTCGGAAGTTGACGGCCAAAATTATGGCTTACGTTAGATGCTGCATACCCGAAGATGGAGCTTATCATTTCCCCTAGTCAGAGATGCTCCTGGCTCTGTTTACTATTCGGCTAATACGTTCACTAGCTCCCAGTATTGTTGAGCCCAACAATCTTGAGAAAATCAAATCTAACCTCCTGTAGGGCCATACAAATATTACATTGGTAATTCTTATTCTAATCTGCCGTTCGGATACTGCCAGTGACGTGTGACTTATCTTGATAGAACGGAATAATTCTACTAAACTTGCAGGCCTCAAAAATAATCTGCTATTTCTTTATCTCAACCAAATTGCATGGTTCTCAAATCGTCGAGCCACAAAGATCTCACGGATAAACTCCTTCACCTTATGGCCAGTAGTGCAATCACTTGCCCAGCAGGGCAATGACTGAACACCTGTACGCGGTGTAGTCTACAAATCTGGGATTGAAATATTTTCCCAGAGCCAAGTTCAGTCAAATTTCGCGATACCAAAGTAATAGGCCCACAAGGCAATGATTTAAATTATTCCACAACGTCAATTTTACACCCCCGAGTTCGACTCCTACCTAAGTTTCATCAAGTCTACGAGTACGATCCAGTATGTCCTCATTCCAATGATCACACCTCTCTTCGTCCTCTAGCCTTAGCTGGTCGCCAGATACACGCCCACGCTGATAGTTACAACCGACGGAGGAGGAAAAGCGTGGCGCACAAATCTGGCAGACAGTACTTTCGAATGAGCGTGAGAGGAATCAGGACAATTTTTCAAGATGTTTTAGTGGATGGCTACAATTTCGAAGAGCGTGAAATTTGGAATTTGGCAAGAAGTTTTACAAATTGAGCTTTCTGCGTGCCAAGACTTCGGTTGCGAGGGTGCGATCGATACTGTAAACACCGCTATGGTTGGATGGTGCGGTGGTACATCGTCTTGGCTGATCTTCTGAGTAGAGTGTGGATAGCTTGGACACATATCCCACTCGAGACAGGAGATCACTGGTTCGAATCCGGCAAAGCACAACCACATTTCTCGCGGTGCTGGTATACATGGATGACGAAGGCATGTTTGGATAATCAAAGGTTTTGAAATTTCCTTTGGGGGGTACTTACGTAGGAGAGTCGACTGCTTGTGTAAGCGAACATACCTCGTAGCGGTATCTGCAAATGAAATACAGAGTATGAGTGTCTCTAACGCCAAAAGAGTCATCCAACATATATACATAGCATTGGTTATATATCGTAGCTCATAAGAAAGATACGTGGGACACGGTATTGCTGTCATAGGCTAGAGCCTAGCACAACTCAGGCACAAGCCCAAGGCACTTGTCATTGGAGGATTAGTTTGAGATAGGGCTGCAGGATTGTGGAAGATCCAAACATTCTACATTCTAATGATTGAACGATCCGATGGTCTGGTGCTTGAATGATTAAAGGGCTGAGCTTTGGCAGAGAGCAGAGAAGCCGAGCAGCAATGCACCTTGGCAAGAGGCATCCCCACATCTAGTTCTTTACATTATTTGTATCATTTTCATAACTCGAAACCTTGGCAAAAAGCCAGATTATTCAAATTGTGGGTTCCCTAGTTAATTTCCTCTCTAGTTTAAAATTCTCTTGTGTACCTGTTTAATGACTTAACGATCCAATAATCAATATGTATTTCCTTAGAACTAATGACTAATTGTGTTGATGAGTAATGAGGTACCCGTTTGGGAATGGCGTTAGGAGAGAAGGGGTTTTACGAATTATAGATGTTTCCTTCGGAGGGCAAGACTGAACACCTGTACGCGGTGCTCTCTACGAACCTGGGAGTGAAATATTCTCCCAGAGCCAAGTTCAGTCAAATTTCGCAATATCAAAGAAGTTGGCCCACGAGGCAAAAATTCAAATTACTACACCATGTCAATCTTTCACTCCCAAAGAGTCCGATTCTCAACTAAGCTTCATCAAGTCTACAAGTACGACCTAGTACATCCTCGTTTCAATGACCACACCTCTCGTCGACTTTCTCTGGCCTCAGCCGGTCACCAAATACACGCCCACGCCGATATTTATACCCGACGGAGGAAGCAAAGCGTGGAGCACAATTTTGGGAGATAGCTCTTTGGGACGGACGTGAGAGGGATCAGGACAAGTTTACAAGATGATGCAGAAGAGGGATACATTCTCGACGGGCGTGAAATTTCGAATTTTGGAAAGAGTTTTACGAATTGAGCTTTGTGCGCGCCAAGACTTCGCTTGCGAGAGTGCAGCTGACACTATAAACACAAGCCAACGATGGAAGGTGTTGTGGTCCGCCTCCTGGTGGTGTTCTCTGGTATGGTTTGAGTAGCATGGGCACCTACTCCACTTGGGAAGGAGACATCTCAGATTACATTTCGCGCGGAGAAAAGTTGATGGATGACAGAGGCATGTCTGGATAACTCAGGGTTTTTGAGACGTTCCCCTGGGTGGGTATTCACGGATGAGGGTTGACTTGGGGTGAAGAAAAAGCCACCATAACTTCGCAGTGGTATTTGCAAATGAAATCTGAGGCATGAGTGCTCCTATTGTAAACTGAGTCATCTTTTCTGTACTTTTCTTTGATATTGTGTCATAGCTAGATAGCTGCATACGCAATTAAAATCTGATGCAAAAAAAAAAAAAAAAAAAAAAGATGTTTCCTTCGAGGAAGACAGGGGGGGAAAAGATCACTTTTATACGTACAATAATTATTACTGCTACATCAAGCTTGTGATATAAATTACCACCTAAGTATTCCGACAGTACCTAGATCTATATATTTCGTGAATAACACCTATCTTACGACCCTTATAATTACGTTGTTTATGTTGACTTAACGACCCTATTTATTGATTTGAATTTGAATTTGAAATATTTAACGTGACAGGACGAACCTAGCATCTATTTAAACGTGACACGAGTAAATGGGCTCTGAGTGCTCATTGCTACCTACATGACCGGTATCAAAGCCAGAAGCGACAAAAAAAATAAAAAAAATAAAAAGGAACAATAAATGCCTGAATTACAGTGCCCTGCGCTGCACCCCTATCTTCCAAGCACATCCCCTCCCAAGTTGGAATCCGTCTCAGCGTGGTCACCTCCCACCCTGTTCATTCTTCGGCAGACTGTAACATCTGCTTGTAGTTAGGAATTGGAAAAAATTCTGCCATCCCTTCTCCCCAATCATCTCCTTGGCTCCAGGCGGGGCTGTTTTCTCATAGCTTCTCCAACGTTGCAAGGCAGATCGACACTCTGGAAAATGCCAGGGCGTTTTCTCCCGGCCGCAAACGACTTTCAGATCCTCAAGTTTCTGTTTGAAACGTCGATGCTAGTCGGCGCAGTCCCCGTGGCCAGTTCTTGCCGTAATTAGACGGTGGTGCGCCCATCTTGGCAGAGCCAGTTCCGGTGGCTGTTTGCAGCGCATGAAGAGGTCTAGATCTTTGTATCGTTCCGGCCGAAACTTCTGCCACCACTCTTCCACGAGCTCTTGGCTGTGCAGTTTAACCCACCTCCCTAATGCCGCAAAGGTTAGATTTTGAGATTCTTGTGATGATATTTAAGTCTCACATGACTTGGTCATGTGACAATCTTGTAATTATTTATAGCCTTTATAGTTTATAATAAAACTTCATGCTTTGATCACAACAGGTTATGGCCCTTTAGTCGCTTCCACTTCGTTCTCAGCTTTCGTTTCTTAATCAACGACATCGATGAAGGTGCTCTCGTATTCATCTAAATATATTATCCGATAGCAACTCTCGCACATCTTCACGACGTCTGACTCCTTTAAGGCCCCGACTACTGAGGGAAAACATCACCTCAAAGATGATAATTCTCCTTCCGATGAATTAAATGATATTATCATTGGTGGTCTCACATTCGCTACTGCGGATGACTTGAGAGAATCGATCAAAGAGTCTCAGAGAAAGACAGAAATCTGGACGCTAACTGACCGATTACAAAGCATTGACAAGATGACACCACTTCCTTGTCTTAAGAAAAACAATTGGTTTCAATGGTCTGAATCCGTCGAAAATCTGATTTTTTTATCCCAAACCTCTGCGGCATTCCTTCCTCAACTACCTCGAAATAAAGCCATTCGAATGTGGTCAACGTGGTGGGTCGCTAAACTTCGTGAGACGGCCCCTCATATTAGAATAGCACCTCGTGATAACCCTTGAGCTATCCTGAATGAAATCTTTACATCTTCTCAAGCTGCTTCATTTTCAAACGTAAACTCCATTGTTTCTCGATTTTGGACTTATCAACCTGAAAAGAACACCAATTTCCAAAGCTTTATGAAAGAGTATCAAAAGTGATATCAGAATTTAAGGGAACATTTTCAGATTACGACAGAAATTCACTTTCAGATGCACCATCTCTTACTCTTTCACGTTAGAAAGCTCCAGCCTGATCTCGCAAATAGGTGCCGCGATCTATCATATGAAAATACAATCTCTGAGTGTCTAAAATGGACCTGTAGTAGTTCGTTTAGATCCTCAGGCAAGCCAAAGGCTTGCAATTTTTGTCATATTGTTGGACACAGTGAAGACAAATGTAGGAAGAAAATGAACGTTCACAAGGGCAAAGCTCAAGAACAACCTCGATCGGGTCTAAATCAAGGGAACAAGAATATTCTTTCCGTTGATAAATGTTTAGAAGATTCTAGTTATCAGTTGGATACTGCTGCGGATTTTCACGTAACTGGAAATAAATGAGACTTTTCTACTTATTCCCCTGAATTGCAGACTATTTATA